CCCCAAAACCCCAAAACCCCAAAACCCCAAAACCCCAAAACCCCAAATTAATTTCTAATTTGAACATAAGATATTTTTGCGCAATATGGAACACCAAGAAAATCAGCCACCAAATGAAGTCGAGGCTCCTTCTGAAGAGGCTAAGGAAGTTGAAAAGGAGTTGACTGATGAAGAAAAATTATGGAAGAAAATAGATGAGATTCTTGACAAATACTACGTCAATGAATTCCAAAGAATGGCTCTTCATAAATTTATAAAAGTCAAGATTAGCAATACAGACACTGATGAGTGTGAGAGAGCCAGAGAATGGCTCTTCTTAAAAGTTAACGGAACAAAATTACCCAAAGAATACCATAAACGACAGCTAGGGTGTCCAGACCTCGTCCCTGGAATCACTATCAAAGGATGGTGGGAAAGAGAAGAATTCTCATGGGTCTCTGAACTAGAAGAACAATTTGATGTAATCAAGGAAGAACTTATGGCTCTTAAGACTGAAACAGGATTCCAGCCCTACAGAGGCCCTACTTGGGCAGGAAAAATACTACCTAAGGACAAAATAGGCTCCCAGTCCAATGAAGGAGGTGATTGGAATGTCTTCTATCTGTTCCTACATAACATGAAGTTTGATGAAAACTGAGAGAAGTGACCTAAGACTGTAGAGATAATCCAGAATATTGTTCCAAGACAATATTGACATGCTTTCTTCTCAGCCTTGACTCCTGGTGCACATGTAATGGAACATAATGGCCCAACTAATCGAAAACTCAGGCTTCATCTCCCTCTTGTAGGGGTGGAAGGAAGCAAGATGAGAGTAGGGGATGAGACTAAATACCCAAAAGAAGGAGAGTGCATTATCTTCGATGATAGCTTCAACCATGAAGCTTGGCATGAAGGAGACACCACAAGAATAGTCTTGATTCTAGATTTCTGGCATCCTGATCTTTCTGATGCAGAGGTAAAATTCTTCAGCTTATTGCAAAAGTCTAAGCTAAAGGGTGAGAAATTCTTGACAGAGAAGTCAAAAAATGAAGATAACCTCTTCTCCATTGTTGAGAAAACAAAAGGACTTATCCAAGAAAATGATTCATGGTGGATAACATAATCAAAGCTTGCATAAATCTTCAATTTCTAAATAGTATTTTGGGGTTTTGGGGTTTTGGGGTTTTGGGGTTTTGGGGTTTTGGGG